TGCGGTTTCATTACATATATCAAGCGTCAGTTTGTCACCAGAACAATTCACAGTATTTCATTTTGGAATAGGTTTTTGTTCAAACAAACAAAGCACTTTGTACCAACGGCCTGTTGCTACTCTTGCAAAAGCCTGCGCAGCCAAGATAATATGAAAGAACTTGTTTCTCTGACAAATGATTGCTTTATCATAGTACACGCAAGGAAACAATCGCTTTGAAAATGCCAGGCAAAAGCATGGAGAGAGATACGGAAAAGCTTGGCCTGAATACCTCTTCTTAGATCTCGATATATCTCTTCTTAATACTTAAATAAATAGCAACGCGCACCAGATTAGCCGGTGCGATCATGCTTTTTGTGCAATTAAGACCTCGAACGATTACCTATTAATGATTCTCACTGCTTCGTACTTTAGTCTATGCAAAAATAGTTCAGACGTTGGAAACCAGTTAAAAATCTCATGCATGAAAGCTGAATTCGAAACGTTGAAGGGTGAATACCTTCCCGTGATTCCTGAGTTAATAGTTTGCCCTCCAAAATTTTCACAAGGCTGTAGGTGATGCTCAAGAGCGTGGAAACGCTGAATTTGGATAAGCAAGGTTGAGCGTGGGCAGAGGGTCATTACCTTAAAATTTCAACCTGCTAGACTCCGTGATTCCCGAGGTATTAATTTACCCGCAAAAAACTTTCACGAGGCCATACGTATTACTCGCGGGTACGGAGCAGTTGAATTTAAATTTGCGGGGTCACATGTAGGTGGGGAACGTTCCCATAAATTTTCAGCTTCCTAGCTTTTGTGGTTCACGAGTTAAAAGTTGCGGAGAAGTTACTTTGGCTGCAGACACACACACACACACAGACAACCCCGTGACAATATGCGTTTTGTACTGCTATTACACAGCACGAAACGCATAAAAATGAGACTAACTTTTCAAAAGATGTCCCATCGATGAAATCGTCTTTAATGCCAAACGCGGCGCGCATTCGGTTTCGATTCTGAATTGCGGCTTTTGCCCAAACGTGCGTGTCCCGAGTGCTCAGCTCAGCATCTATGTTCAACTCACCAGACTCCACCTGACTTTGCAGTAATTTTCGATATTCATTCACCCTTTTCTGGATTTCCACTTCATCAAATCCCTGAAATTCGATATAAGCAATTTAAACGCTGTTTGAGACAACAGTACCACACATTTCTACATTCTATCCTACTGCAAATGATCTGACAGTTACAGTGGCAAGAACTCCCCAACACTTCATACCCCTCCACCTACAGCCTGCAGCCAAAACAAAAAACATCGATCTTAATCTAAACATTCATTTTCAACCCATCCATTTTTACTGTAAGTTATTTTTAATAATTCTTATATATTTTTTTTCGCTTTTTCCTAATACTGCACCTGCATTATCGTTTGACTCCTGCTTACACTTTCGAAACAACTTAGTTACCACATTTTAATTTTCATTATATTGGTATAAGCAATTTGGGCACAAGAAAAGCATGCAGACCAGAACCTTTCGCACAGATTAAAAATAATTGGCCAGCGCACGGGCTGCCCGTGCGAAGATGCGTTTTTGCATGGTTCCCCGCAGTTTTTGTTGCTACCGACACCGATTTTTTCGGCAAATGCTTCTAGCTAAACAAATTAAGACTGGCCTCCAAAACTGTCAGAAAACATTCCCTTTAAAATTTCAACTTTCTAGCTTCGCTGGCACCTGAGTTAGCAACCTACTGGAACAAAATTTTCACGGGGCCGTGCATGTTTACCAAGCATACCTGACAGCTGGGTTCGTGCTGAATGAAACTTAGGTGGACGGGGTATATCCTTTTAAAATTGCAATCCTTTAGTTCCTGAGGTACTTGAGTTATCAGTTTACGCTGAAAAAAGTTTGGTGGACCCGTATGTGGGTACCACGCTTATCCGGGGCTGGGTTTGAGCCCACTAATACCCACTTGGGCGGGAAACATTCCCCCAAGATTTCAGCCTTCTAGTTTCTCATATCCGCGAGTTATGAGCTTAACCGAAAAAAAATTTGGCGAGATCGCACGTGGGTACCACGCGGGTTTTGGCGCCAATTTTAGGATGGGGGCCCGTACGCGCATGTAGATTATGTCCCCAAAGTTTCAGCCCCGTAGCTTTTGTCGGCCTCGAGATGAAAAATCTGTACAGACGAACACACAGACACACACACAAACAAACAAACAACCTCTCGCCAATATGCGTTTTCTGCATTGCATAGCTTCAAAAAACGCATAATAATTGGCCAACGCACGGGCTGCCAGTGCGAAGTTGCGTTTCTTGCATGGTTTCCCGCAGTTTTTGTTGCTACCAACACCGGTTTTTTCGGCAAATGCTTCTAGCTAAACAAACTAAGACTGGCAGCCAGAACTGTGAGGAAATATACCCTTAAAATTTCAGCTTTCTAGCTTCCGTGGCCGTTGAGTTAGCAACTTACTGGACCAAAATTTTCACTGGCCCGTGCATGTTTACTAAGCATGCCTGAGAGCTGAAACTTAAGTGAACGGGATATATCTTCTTAAAATTACATTCCTTTAGCTTCTCAGATAATTGATTTATCAATTTACACGAAAAAAACTTTGGCGGGCTCGTACGCGGGTATCACGCTTACCCGGGGGCTGGGTTTGAGCCCACTAATACCCACTTGGGCGGGGAACATTACCCCAAGACTTCAGCTTTCTAGCTTCTCAGATTCTCGAGTTATGAACTGACCCCTAAAAACTTCGGCGGGCCCGTACGCGGGTACCACGAGGGTTTTGGCGCCCATTTTGGGGATTGGGGGTGGTACGCGCATTGCAAAGGACAAAGGGGCAAGACACAAAATATTTGGGACATAATTATAAAACAAAAAGTATACACATGCATGAATATTAATAAAAAGAATAAATATTACAAAATATTATTAAAAGATCCTATCAGGATCTTTTTATGCGAAGCATTTTGGGCAAATGCTTTGGCGTCATGTAATGACCGAAGTCGAAGTGCTCTTCGCCTACCGCACAAAGGGCTAGGAAAAGAAGAACAAACAGCGTTTCAAATAGCAGCCACAACGGAGGCTCCTAAGCTAATAATCGGTACTACAGGTATAATTGAGCAGTTTCATAAGAACCTGTGGGAAAAGACAGCTTGTTTAATATGTGATGAAGCAGGTTTGGTACCAGAGGGACAGTTAGAAGCGCTGGTGGCGAGCTTTCCCGACCTCAAACAGCTATTTCTCACTGGGGATGCAAAACAGCTGCCAGCACACCGAAGTAACTATCCCAATATCATTGTACCGTACTGCCACAGGAGCGCGATAGAGTCGATCTTGGACCGTCAAAGCATTCCGGTTATGGCTTTAAACGTATCATTCTGGGCACATCCAACCATCACAGAGTGCTTATCAGTGGCATCATATGCATCTGAAGCCGGGCACCACAAGGGAACAAAGAAGTATTCTAACCTCCTCCCAAGTCCGACTTCCCCGGCAAGAGGAACCGACTGTGCTAATAGAAGAAACCAGCGCAAATACACGTGATCTGTTACGATCTCGCTGCAATCCAGCACAGGAGCGACTGGTAAAAGAATTGATACGAAAGCTGGAACCGATTCTTGACGGGAATGTGACTGTTGCAATACTT